TCGGCGCCCATGAAGAAGCGTGTCGAGAAACATTACAGGGTTCGCTGGTTGGTATATTCCCCGGCGGACGATACATGGGAGCCATCGAGTACGCTGTCCCAAGGGTATACCAGACGTGGGAGAGGATTATGAGTCGCGTAGAAAGACAGTGATCGCGACCGACGCTGCCGGTTCCATCCCCGATCTCGCGAGCCGTAATGCTCGCGAGCAACGAAACCGCTACGACCTCCCGAGCGACTCCGAGACCGAGACCTATTACGAGGCTCGGGAGCATACGGATGATACGGTTGACGATCTCGGCTACGTGAATGCCGTCGTCGATCGTAAGGACGCGCTCTCACTCTCCGTATCTCGGACACCTGGAGCCCCGAAAGGCTTCTCTCATAACGGGCAATCCATGGACGAAAATGATCGGGCATGCCTCGCGCACACACCAAGTCGTCCCATTCCTGCCGGACCGGTCGCGATCTGCCCACGTTGCACGTTGGACATTCCTCACGAATGTGGACGTAACAAAGGTGATACTCGTCACAAGTCATACGACAGATGCGCCGGTGCAGGTCGCCAATAGCGTGTCTATCACGCGTTCCCTCGCGAACATCTAACCAGGACGTGAAGGACGTTCCTTCACGTCGGCTCGCGTTCCAGCACCTGATGAAGGCACACCAAGACCTCTGCAACGCATCGTCGGTATATGCTTTGTTCGTCGCACTGTACGGTATCGCGTGAAAAGGTCCTTCATGACCTCCAGTGGCTCGGGTTCGACAACACCTTCAAGACCATACAAGCGCCACGCTTTCAAGTCCCCATCCATGACCTGCGGCGTCTGCTCTCTACGGATTGTCGCTTGGTGTTCCAGTTCTGGTGGTCAGAGACATTGTTTCGTGGACGCCTAGGGTCCATGCTGACAGTTAAGTCTAACTGAGCAGGTTCGGAGTTACACCGTTGGTCGAGAAGAAACTTTCTGCGATTCGCGCTTACGTTGAGGTAAGCGCAACTTAAAGAGGGGGGTGATGTAATGGGGCAACCTATTACATGAGTAGTTAAAGGATTAATACATAATTACATAAATAGGCATAGGGCAGTATCCGATTAGCGGATACTGCGCGTCATTTTATTATTGGTTTATTATTGGGGTGCCAGACCCAATAATTAGCCAATAATAAATTGACTTCCATATTGAGTGGTTCCCATGAGCTAGGGAACATATTCGCACTTACTGCGAATTAAAACTAAAATAAAAATAAAACAGAGTTATATTTACGAGTTAATTAAGAGCGCTTCCTCAACGCCCTTTTAGTGTAAGACGGTAACGGGTCCTTAGCCCGTTACATTTTGGAATCTCAGGGACTATGCTATTCATTTGTTCGATTACTCTGAACTTAGGGGTAGCTTCAGAGTCCGCGACAGTAGAGCATCCCGCCCCTACTGCGCTCCCGCATTTCCCGACCCATCTTGGGCAGGTGACGAACCCGTGCGACGTGCACGGTTTTTCGCACCTCCCTTTGGGTAGGGAGACTTTTTGATGGCTGCCTCAGCACCAACATCAAGTTTGGCATAGCAGCGAGCCATCATATGGCCTCGCTTGCCGCACTTGTAGCAGATCACATCTGCATTGCCTAACTCCATAGGAGTGGCATCAGACTTCTCGGACGACGGCCTGTAATAGGCTGTCGCCGAGGCGCTGTTGTAGGATTGCTCCTTAACTAAGGCAATATCAATTGCCTCTTCCATCGTCGCTGGCACCTTTCTGAAAAGGGCCTGACGCGATGGGCCGTGCCTAAGTCCATTCATGAACGTGGCCACCTTGATACGTTCTGGTATCGGTTCCCCATTGATGAACGCCGACAGCGAACGCATCTCCTGCACAAATTCTTGCAGAGAGCGTTTCGCCTGTCGTGCTCCAAAGAAGCGCTCCATAAGCAACACTTCGTTGTTAGGCGGCTGATACATGGCGCGAATCTTTGCCTTAAAGATCGCCCATGATGGAAATGCATCAGCATTAGCCATCAGCGCAGAGTATGCCCACTCTGACGCTTTGCCACGCAATTTAGACATGGCATACGACACCATTCTGGTGTCGTCTTCGATGAGCTGCGCCACTCCACATTGCTCAACTGCTAATAGCCAGTGAACAATCGTGTGAGGGCTAGTTCCATCGAACTTCGGAGGGTCAATCCGAATGGGCCTCGGTTGAGTAGGCCGGGCAGAGAGTGTCTCAACAGTTCTGTTGAGCGCCTCATTACGTGCCTGCTCAAGCCTAAGCTCATCCTGAGTCTTAGTGATGGACTCAGCGGTGGCTTGGCTGTTTACCTCGGACGCGTTGCTACGCTGTCCGAGCACAAACGCCTCAAATTGCTCCAACTGAGCCACATGTTGCTCAGGAGGACATTGCAAGAGATTGACCAGGTCTTGTTCACCAAGTCCCTGCGCCATATGCTCTGCCAACTCCCTATGATGCTGGGAGAGGTGAGGAAATTCACTCCAGTCCATATTAAGACCCATTTAACAACACGCACGGTCAGAGAGACGGGTCGTGGGAAGGACTACTCGTGCTACCAAGTGTAGGCGGGCACTTCTACGAAGTTGCCTCGTACAACTAGCACACACCTTGTGCACAAGCGAGGAAGCGGTTATACCGTCTTACCTTCGCGCGCGAGGGTGGTTGTGTGGTGGTCGACTGCTTAAGCAGTCGACCCACCAGTTGCCTCTCGCTTAAGCGAGAGTGCAACGAACAACTAATACGTGTCCTACTTACGTCACGCAGAAGCTTACTCAGCTTCTCGTGCGCAGTAGACAGTGTGTAGTAAACGTCAAGACTGAGTTATATTGAATGAATTGTAATTAAACATAACTTAACTACTGATTGGCTATATATGTATATAGATCGGATACGCGACTCTTTAGAAGCATATCCTGACGCATGAGCTTATATGTAGATTTAAGCTCTCTAATGACGTCCTTCTGGGACGTCGCGATGCCTAGCTTTAACTAGCGTCATCCCTTCCCATGTGAATCCATCAATGGATATCACGTTCACGAGGGTGGATCACATTTGTGTATCTCACCCAAGTGACAGGTCAAAAGTAATCATGGATACTTTTAGACCTTACATTAAGTATATTACTTAATGTTTACGTGTAACTAGATGCCCTGTTACAAAGCAAGCAACTATAAGGAAATACAACGACAAAATTATCTCACAAGATATTCTTGTCCAATATCATCTTGCAAGATAATCTTGTCCAGCAAGATAATCTTGTCCAGCAAGACAATCTTGTCGAATAATATCCGCTAAGATAATATTTACATTGACATCTGCCAATGTTATGTTACGAGCTCACCCCGTTACGTTAATGCAGTATTCTATCGACGTCTTTATTCGGGGTGCAACACATTCTGACCAATCAGAGTATTAACAAATTTGGGGAAGGGATGATTAGCGTCTCCCTTTTTATATAATAAGCCTTGATAGCTAAGCCTTCGATAAATGATAAACCTTTTCTAGTTTATGGCACTATTTGACTGGAAGCAAAAGTTCTTGAGAATGCGTAGCAGTCCTGGCATCTGATATGGTGTCGTGGTACCAAGGAACGTCATCATACGCTCGAGGCTAATGACACCCATGAGTCTTCCTGATCGTGCAACGAAGACATTGTTGAGCTTGAGCATACGAAAGAGCATATCCACACGACGCATCGGCGTCATTTCCATCAACTGGAATGGCGATGGATCGACTAGCACTGTCAACTTGGACGGAACACACACCTCATTTGTGACCCAATTTATGACCTTTCCACCACGTATAAAGGCAAAATGAATTGGAGACTGAAGCCACTGCAAAGGTAGTTCACCAAGACCATCCTCCGCTTCGTCATCATCGAACTCATCGCTACCATCACCGCGAGACGTCGAGTCCATGGCTCCATATGATTTTTGAATCACCGAACATGGAGCGCAGCAGCCCGAGTCGTAGTCAATCGCCGTTATAATGTTAGGAGTGGTCGACTGAGGCGTGGTTGGGAAAAGTAGCGAAGTTGTAGCTGTCGCTACGGCTTCCACATGTAACGGTTTCCTCAAGTCTACAGGCGCCAACGGAATATGGCGTTGGCAACGCGACACAGCGTAGGCTAGCCGGGAACGCGTAACTGTAGCCAACAGGAAGCGGTTCTCGAGCGAGTCTACAATGGGAAACACAGGTTCCATGTCGGAGCGCTCGAGCAGTGCCAACGCGTCTTCATACGTTGAGTCAGCACTAAGTACTCCCATCTCAGCCACGTCCTTCATCACCTCCCAGGCCGGAATGTCATAAGCAGCTTTTGGTAGCTTCTTTAGTCGAGGCAGGTTACTCGTCACGATGAGGATATCGTAAACGTTATCGGTAAACCTCTTGGCCACAAAATATGCTGTTAGTATCGCCACAGACACAGGTAGGTTGAGGCCGTCGGTATGTGAAATCTCCATGATAATAACAGCGGTAGACACAGCATGTGTCACACCTGAAGAGAAAGCCCCGGCGCCAATAATTGCAAACTCGAAAGGCTCATAGTTGGTGCTTATGAGATCGAAGGCACGTACGGCTTCACCAACAAGTCGGCCAAAAATGCCACCGATGACGAAAGTAGGGGTGAACAACCCAGCCGGCACAGGTAGGACAATACTTACAAGCGTCAGTACATACTTGAGCGGAAGAAATGTCAGCAACGATCTCGAAAGCAGCAAACTGGCCTCTTTAGTACTTTCTTGAGTACGGTCATCGGCAAAGATCTGCTTGTCTTTTGAGAAAAGCGCGTCAAGAATGCGACGAGGGGAGCCGTGCCGCAGAAACCACGCACTGTCTCCGAAAAACTCGAGCCAACACGAAAGCAAAGTTACAGCTAACACAAGTCCCACCCGCTTTCCAAGAGCATTCCACCAAGTTAAACGAAGTGAATTTGACGCCGAGGGCTGGAAAAAGCAGTCCCGGGCACGCACCAATATGGACAAGGAGTGGTTGAAAAGGGCGCCTCCAAGGCCGCAAAATATACCCATGAGCGCAAAAACGCAGAGGTCAGTAAAAGCGGGCCCGCCGCTTCCATTTCCAGCATCAGTACCCAAAGAAATTCCCATGCTTCGGTTGCCGAAAAGTCCATACCGTGTGTTGGCAGAACCGAAGTTTACCAGTAACGCGCCTACGATGGCTGCGAAAAATGAACGAGGCAGTGTCCGGACATAATAAAAGTGCGACGTCACCTCTACCCCAAAAAGCACGCCTCCAAAAGGGGAGCCGAACGTAGCAGAAACTCCAGCAGCACACGCACATGCCAGCATCTCCAAGCGCTTTGTGTCATCATCGCGAATGCGACGGAATGGGCGCCAATTCATCAGCACACTGGCAAAGCCACATGAAATCATGATGAATGGGCCCTCTTTACCGATTGATAGCCCTGCACCTAATGCAGCCATCAGTCCAACGATCTTGGTAGCTACGCAGCGGAAGGACAGGTAGGCACTGACATCGATCCCCGAAATGGCCACTTTCATGAATGGTAGACCTGATCCTGCGGCTTGCGGACACACGGAATGAGTCAGAAGCGCTGAGAAGCCCCCAGCAAGGAGTGCTGACGCCGCAAACAGCCCAAAAGCTTGGCCGCCTACCCATTCATGGTACCGCGCGACCTCGACACTCCACATGTCCATGGCCAGCCCGACACTTCCTGCGAAGGTGCCAATGACAATCAGTAGCAACGGACTTTGCACCAGCACGAACAAGCCGTGCAACCCTCTTGGGTAGTCAGCTATATAGGTTGAATGCAGTCCGCCATTGAAAGCCAGTGCCTTCCTGTATGTCGGCTGTGCTTTTTCGGTGACCGACAACCGAGGTGAAGCTGTCGAAGGAACTACATTGGGGGTAACGTGCAGCTCCGGTAGAGTCTGTAATGGCTGGTAGTTGTGCCAATGGGAGGGAGACTCACGGTCCAAGAATGGGTTCATGATCCTCTCCATAACGCTGTTGGCTCGCCGCCAAGGCGACGAAATCCGCGGAGATGATGAGCGGCGGCGGTGTGCGACATTGCTCGAGAGAGTGGTCTGGTCAAATCTTTGTCGCTGGACTGATCCTGCCCTGACGGAGACCGACGAGGAGCGAAGCCGTCGATTATTGCTCGTCATGCAAGGGGAAATATCGAATGAAAGTCGAAGCTACAGGAACAAGTACAACTAATAGAAGGGATCTCTTGCTAGATGCAAAATGCGACTCGCCAATCGTTTGAACGTTTAGCTGATTGGCTCGACCAATGAAAAGGCTTAGAAACAACACTTTAACTACCTCTTTAACGGAATAATCACTCTTATCGAGGGGACAATTCCTGTCCACGCTCGCAAAACGTTCTCAAGTCATGAAGCTAAATACGTAATTGAGCATTTACTACTGATACATACAAAGGCGAGTCTCCGTACTATGTAAATAAGTCCATACTATTGACGACGAGCAACGTGTCACAAGCTTAGCAATTTGTTTTGCAAAATGTCCAGATGTACCCATTCAAGCTTATTTATATATAAAAAGGAATGCTACAATTTATACGTTTTGAAAGTATGCACTATATATAAAACAGTACAACATTATTATTTTATAAAGACTGTTGCCATAGAGATCCTTCCTTATCTCGGACGGATGAAGGAGGAGAATGAGGAAATGCATACGTCGAAGGAGGGAATGATCCATCAGGTACAAGATGAAGAAGAGCAAGAGAGAAAGGCTTCGAAGCTGTCACATGCGGTAGAGCGAGAACAGAAAAGAAAGGTAAATATTGAGTACTGGCCACACCAGTGCGCACAAGAGTGATGGTCATGTTAGTTGAACCTCATACAAAATGATTTGTCTGTAGCGATGGAAAGAAGTAGTGACACAAGCTGTACAACAAATGATGAAGGAAAAACACGAATGTATTGAAGAAAACAAGCTCATGTCGTTCGTAGATGTCGTGCAAGCGGCAGCTGCTTTTGACCGTGACGGCCGCATCCACATGAACTTTGAAGACGATGATGACAGTTACGATATCTCGGGGTTGCAAGAAAAGGCCAAGAAATGTAAAGACGTGTCCATGCGTGCCACACGCCAAAGCAGCCGAGCTGATTATGATGCACCTGTTATGACTATTTGCCTTATGATTGTTGGTACTCATGGAGACGTGCAGCCATTTGTTGCCATTGCCAAGAGACTTATTCTTGACGGACACCGTGTGCGTATAGCTACTCACGCAGTCTATCGTGACTTTGTTATGCATCACGATATCGAGTTTTATCCACTAGCAGGAGACCCCAAGGAGCTTTCGGCCTACATGGTCAAGACAAGTGGCCATCTCATTCCTCTAAACATCGAAGCGATCCAGAAGGACGTACCTCGTAACATGCAGATGGTTGAGGAGATTTTATACTCAACGTGGCCAGCAGTGACCGAAGCAGACCCAGATGGCGGAGGCCCTGGCATTCCTGGCAAACCTTTTCGTGCACAAGCCATCATCTCGAACCCTGTCACATACGGCCACATCCACGTTGCCGAACGACTGGGTGTACCGCTTCACATCATGTTTCCTCAGCCATGGGTGCCCACGACAGCGTTTCCACATCCGCTGTCGAATATGCCGTACACCGGAAAGCCTAAAAAGATCAACTATCTGTCGTACAAGATGGTCGACCTACTCATGTGGCAGGCAACCGAAGGTATGATCAACGCATTCCGTAGGGATAAGCTAGATCTGCGCAAAATTCGCAAGGGAGACGGCGGTCGCGATATTTTACTAGACCTCGCCATCCCTCATGCTTTTATGTGGAGTCCACATATCGTGCCAAAACCAAGCGACTGGGGCGACATCTATGATGTCATCGGAACAGTCTTGTTGGAAGGACCAAGTTCCGCGTACAAACCTACATCAGAACTTGAATCGTTCCTCGGTAAGGATGCGGGACCAATTTTTGTGGGTTTTGGATCAATGGTCATCCAAAACCCAGTGGACGTTACAACGATGATCATCGAAGCTGCAGCTCGAGCAAAAGTTCGGGTGCTGATTCAATCAAGTTGGAGCGATATGGCAGGAAATCTCACGATCCCAGACAACATTTTTTTTCTTGGCAGTTGTCCACACGACTGGCTTATGCCGCGTGTGTCAGCGGTGGTGCACCACGGCGGGGCAGGTACTACGGCGGCGGGCTTGCTCGCTGGCAAACCCACTTTTATCGTACCTTTTTTCGGAGACCAGCCGTTTTGGGGTCGTGCCGTCTTTGACGCTGGTGTTGGTGTGAATCCTTGTCTAATGTCCCAACTGACAACAGAGAAATTACAGGCTGCATTTGAGGCACTAGAGAGCCCACAACTTCGTGCGCGCGCAAGTGCAATGCGGGACCTCATGCAACAAGAGGACGGCGCAGGTGAAGCTGTGCGATGCTTCTACCGCAACTTGCCTTTGCACCACATGCGGTGTGATTTGGACTGTGGGCGAGCTGCAACGATGTGGAGCCAGAAGAATAAAATTCGCTTGTGTGACGAGTGCGAATTTGTAGTGACTTCCCGTCCTGAAAATTCTCCGACGGATATTGTGGAGTACAATTACGTCGATTACTCGCCGCGCGGCCCAGAGAATGTTATTGAGGGTGCTTTTTCTGGTGTGGGTGCGCTTGCTCACGTGTTTGGATCAGGCTTTAAGGATATCATTGTCAAGCCAGCGCAAGGTTATCGCGAAGAGGGAGCAAAGGGCGCTGTGATTGGGCTCGTAAAAGGGTTGGGTGGGATCGTAATCAGCCCGTTTGTAGGCACGTTAGTGTTTGCCGACCACCTTGCAACCGGGGCTTATAACAACGTTCGAGCAGATGACGACAATAGGGGTTCACTGATTTCAGACAACAAAAAGTTGATGAGTGCGTTGGGCTTCAAAACCCGCAACAATATTCACAACGGTTCAATGAGTGCAGATGAAGTGGTCGATACAAATGATCAGTTATCGACACAGATCTCTATTCAACTTACACCGGACGAGAAAATTAAGCTAGAAGAAAGGTTCCACGCGCTTGTGAGGGAGCGCACATTACGCAAGGAGGATTCGTTCAAGTTGGCGAAGAATAGCTCATCGATCTTAGTTTCATCAAAGAGCACGCGTGATGATGCAGCTGTTGCTTCGAATGTGGATGGATCGCCTTTTAACGGTAGTGACTCGCTCAAAACTACATTTGGTAATGATGGGAAGGTTGGCGAGGCACTTCATCAGGTTGAAGTACGAGAACTAGCAGCTGAGGCGTACAGAGATGAAGAAACGCAAACGAATCACATGGAGAGTCTGAACAGCAAGCCGTTGCCAAAGATGCATATTTGCATGATGACAACAGGTAGCTGGGAAGAAAGTGTCCAACAGTATGTTGCGATTGGATTGCGGCTCAAAGCGGATGGTCACTGTGTGCGTATCGCGACGAACAGCGGCCACCGGGATCGTATTGTCAGTGCTGGTCTCGGTTTCTATCCACTTGGAGGAAGCTCTATCACGACCGGCAACTTTCTGCAATACTTGTACCAGCGGACTCAGGACGAACCACGTCATAAATCCCGACTGCTCAATTTAGCTCACGCGAAGTTGAATCACTGGTGGGAGTCGTTCCCAGAATTGGATGATCTACGTGAGCTCATATTCTCGCTGTGGCCGGCGTGTGTGGCAGTGGACCCATTAGTGCCTGGTAAGGCTTTCCGCGCTGATGCCATCATTGCACACCCGTATCTGTTTGGACAGACCATCGTTGCCGCACGTCTCGGCGTGCCTCTACACTGCATGAGCTATAACCCACAAACTCGCACTCAGGCCTTCCCTCATCTGATCAGTGCAAATATGAAGCTTCACAGACCATACAGATACGCACCGACTAACGCAGCATCTTACGATGTATTTGACAATGTGTTGTGGAATGGTATGCGAGATGTCTTTGATGAGTTCCGACATTTCCTGGGGCTCACTGGTAAGAGCATAGCAAACAATTTGCTTGCTGAATGGCATATTCCTCACACATACCTTTGGAATTCTGTACTTCTGCCAAAACCTCATGATTGGGGAAGTGAGATTACAATCGCGGGGTACGTCGAACTTGAGGAGAGTCATTTTGAGGACACTAATCTCGCTGCCATTGAACAAGAGCTACAGTTATTTGCTGCGGACGCTGCTGATACACCTCTTATCTACTTTGGCTTCCAGTGTGGCGATTGGGATCCCCGTCGCGTACAGGATTTAGTTAGCACCCTCGAGAAGGCAGCTCGAAAAGCAAACGTCCGGATTGTATTTCAAGGCTACGAAAACCACAACGGCGATGCTGCTACTGCTGCATTTTTCGTGGGTGGGACAGACGTTGTGTTCGAGATTGACCAGCATTTTCCGGTGAAACGCATTCTTCCCCATGTGTATGCTACCATGCACTGGGGGGATCTTTCGATTACGTCGACATGTTTGTCTGCAGGAAAACCTGCGTGCGTGGTTCCGCGTAACATTACCCAGAGAATGTGGGGGCAGGCGTTAGTCCTAGCAGGAGCGGGTGTTGAACCGTTGGAAATGGATGCACTGACGCCGTCCAATCTTGTGCATGTGTTTCGTGTGCTGTTGGACCCGAAGCTTGCCGACTGCGCCATGCGTCTTGCTCCGAACTTTTCACCATCAAGCGCAGTTGAGACTGCTGTGTCAACCTTTTACAGCAATTTACCGCTAGAGGGCATGATCTGCGACCTGGATCCGGCGCGTATTGCTCGTGTCTACGACTCGACGCACGAAATGAAGTTGTCGTACGAGGCACGCCTAGTTGTGCACCAAATCACGAAGGACAGAGGTAGCGCGGGAGACTTAAAGTACAAACCTCTTAAGTACTCGCAAGACCAGCCGCCACGATTCTCTTTGCGAGAATTGGAGTTGCTTCATTCTGCTTCATCCGGCAGCCTCAAGAAACAACCTAGAACCAAGATTTTATACACATACGATCCTACCAATCAAGAATTGGCAGCGAGGGTGGACCACGAGCGTGCATCATTGACCTCGTCTCCATCGTCGGCCGAGTCGATCGTAACCAAAACGTTTGGCGGTACCCCACGTAAGAGGTGCTCTGAATTGTCCCGTGTCCAATCTATGGCATTGAGCGTGGTGGAAACGCCAAAATTTTGGGATTCACCAGAAGAGCAAGCGCAGAAAACTCTCGAGATTAACGACAAGTATGAAAAACTGCTTCTAGCGCGCAACATCGACAATCGTTCGTAGCAGCGTCAGTAGCGCTACAACGCGAAGTTGTTTGCCTTCACGGATAGGTGTTTGGTTTGAAAAAAGGTTGAGTTCAAACAACCTTTGATCAGTGGACTCTCCTCGCTGTGATGCGTATTGATACAGTGAGGATGAATGAGCACAGATGAACGGACTACAAAGAGGATTCTTCTCGTGTGCAAAAGATAGCCAGTCCGTTTCCTGGAGCTGCGCTACCCCACGCAAAGAAGCGCAACATTTGCTTTGCGTTCGCTCGCACTCTGTAGTTTCTTAACAAGGCGTTCGTAGGCTATGTAGCGGCTCTACACACGTCAACTTCCTTCTGCGGAAGACCAGAACATCTCGATCTACTGTCGCTATCGAGAAGCAGCTTAATGTCCTGCTGCCTTGCGTTCTCTTGAGCTTCACAATCTTCACGAGCAAAACGAACAACATCATGCAAATGTTTCCCACGTTTGCCGCAGATGAAGAAGAGATTGAGAATGATTGTCAAAGACAACGCAAAAACAGCTCAAAGCGACCATCACTCTTCTTCTTCAACACCAGCTCCCTCATCCCAGTGACTACCGAATATAGTGACGTGTCCATCAAATTCACTCGACGACGATGCAGCAGCTCGTGCAGCGCCTTGTGTCTCCTCTCGTATCTCTGCTAGCTTCTTTTTTCTTCATCCACTTGCATGCTCAACAACAACAAGAGATTATGATTGCTGCTGGTCTCGAGACTCCCGTTCCCATCTTGACTGTACGCGTCGTATATTCATCTCCTCTCTTTCTTTTCTCTCTTCCATGTACTTAATCTATTTGCTTGTAGCAGGACACTCTATCTTCCATGTCAAATTTATTCACTCAATATCTACCCACTGATCTACTCTCCAGTCCTATTAATGTGTCTGAGATCGCTCGAGTCTTGAGCCAAAGTCCCGATTGGAGCGTCATTGGCTTTGCTCTAGAAGACGCTATTGTGGTCACTTTCCAGTGCTTTAAACTATGGACATCTTTCTTCCTGTTACTAGCAGTCCCTATCCTTCAAGCTCTAGCAGTGTTGGGGGAGATGGCGCTGCCTCACGTGCTCATGCTCGTCAAGATCGGAGCCGATTACGTGAGCAAGATGGAACCTCTCTATCAAGCTTTATTGGCCTTTACAGTGCTCTTTATACTGGTCTGTGTACGTAAAGGATACGTGCATAAAGCCCGTGTGCAATATGTGAGGTCGAGAAGGCAGATGGAACTCCGTTACAGAGCTTTTGTAGCCAGTTTGAGTGCCAAGTGGCGCGTGGTGGCCATCCTTCTACCTCATGGGCTGTTTTTCGCCTTGAGTTTCGAAGCGCTTTATTGGCTGCCAGAGTCATCGACAAACGTACTGAGCAGTGACGCGCTGTTTGGACTACTTTCGGTCGGGTATCCGCTACTGCGCTCGATCCGAGTGATCCGACAGAAGAGACTCTACTCGAAACATACCAAGTCAACTTTCCCAACTTCAAGACCAAAGAATACGAGCAAAATGATCAAGAAGCTTGACAATTTGACCATCCCCGACTATAAGTGGAGGTCGTACGAGGCGTGTTTAAAGTATTGGGTCATCTGGTCCCTCGCGGTATGCCTCATTGGCATGGTAACGCTCTTCTTGCCGACTTTTTTGACCTCGTTTTTCACGATGCCGCTTCAATGGTGCAACATTTTCCTGGTTTGGATGCACTCCCCGTTCACAAGAGGTGACATTGCGCTCTACTCTCTGCTAAGCCCCCTTATAAGTCCATACGCGAACCGTATTCATGAACGTGAAGCGACGATAAATGTGGAGACAGAAGAGAAGACGAATTTCTTGATGCGGATTTTGGTATCTTTCCGAGTAGTACCAGAACGACATGTGCACTTGGCGAAAGATTTATGGTCACAGGGCCCTGCACTCTTCGGACTCTTCTTCATGTTCACGCCAGGATTTGTGGCCTCTCGAGGCTGTTCGCTGATGGGTTTTGGCTTTCCCGCCTACGTCACGATAGGAGTGCTAAGCGAAAAGCGAACACGGCGCTACGAGTGGTGGCTTGCATACTTTAGCATAGCGGTCACTGCAGACTACTTCATCACCGCGATTGGACGAGAAATCGGATGGCTTCCGCTGTTTTATCACGTAAAGCTGTTGATGATGATGTGGCTTCAATTTCCATACTTTCAAGGTGCGGAGCGAATTTTTAACGCAATCTTTTCGAGTGTCTTTATCGTTCCAGAATGCAAAGAGGAATAAATGGATTTAGTTCAGATGTTTGCGTGGCTACCTTCAGTAATGCTAACGGTGATCATATAACAAGCTTTGCAGGGTCCCAAAAGTTCGATAATGTGGCTGCGGTGTTGTTAGAAGGATGTGGGTGAGTGAGTCGTACGTCATTAAAAGCGACGAACGATGACGGCTGACTACCGATCAAGGCAGCCGATCTACGACGCCCCACCTGGTCAAGACGAAAGATGTGCAGAAGCTCCTTCGTTTGGCGGCTGGTGATTGTTGTCTAGTAGAAGAGCAAGGCAAGTAAAAACACTAGACGCAAGCAGGTCTTCGTCCGAGCCAGAACAGTTCAAATGGAACAGTTCGATATTATCATCAACCTGCTATTGAATTGCAGTTTCTTCGAGAAAGCACACAAAGCCTACAAGATGGCTCAGGTTCATTTCAACAAAGCCCGTACTAAACTTGGATGTCGTGAAAAGCTGCTAGTTACACAGCAACAGAACAAGCAGATCAGTATTGCTAAAACGCCTTACGAGCTATAAAAATCTAAAGACTAAGATGTATTACATTCCAGCCGCTTTCTGTCTCTAGATTCTCAATAATGCATGGCTGCGAAGTATTACACCCACCGTGGTAACGTGTTAATCAAGTTGAAGTTTGTCATCAAGTTAGTCGCACATGACGATGGGCAACGCATCTCCCTTATCACCGAAATACACGTTTTTGTGATTGTCATTGCCGTTAAGACATGGCCACCTAACGGGATAACCAACTGTATTCATTATCCGCTATTGATGATGGAGCTGGGACAGAAGCTACTGTTGATGCTGGTGGCTGCAGCTTTCCTGTGCTCTGGGGACCTGTGCATCATTGCATCCAAGGTCAATGGCCTTGTGCCCTACAGCAGCATCACCGTTACGTTTCTCATCGAGGTGCTCAAGCTCAGCGCCATGCTGACTGCGATTGTCGTCACACACTCGACGGTCCCGAGTCACGTCCAGCTGCGAATGAGCGGTTACTACGCAATACCGGCCTTACTCAACGCTCTGGAGTGCAACCTGAATTATGTCGTGCTGCGCTACTTGGACGCTGCTACAGTGTCGGTGCTCTGGAACTTGAAGATCCTGCTGACTGCTGTGCTATTCCGCTACGTACTCAAGCAGCAGTTGTCGGAACTGCAAAAATTGGCAATCGTTTTGCTGGTTTTGGGCGTATTGACCAGCCAGTCCGACCGTTTTCACAGCAACGTGGTCGTAGATGACTCACATCAAACGATGCTGGGTCTACTGCTAGCACTGCTTGGCGTGACGTTGTCGTCATGTGCGAGTGTATGTGCAGAGTGGACGTTGAAGCGACAATCAGACTGCCCTTTCCTTTGGCAAAGCGTGCAGATGTACGGATTCGGCGTGTTATTTAACGCTTTGGGTCTGCTACTTGTCGATAGGAAGCTGCTGCTGTCGGACGGGTTCTTTTACGGCTACAGCAGCTGGACATTGGTTGTGGTCGTCGTCAACTCTATCGGTGGTATCTTTATGGCCTGCATCCTCAAATATCTGGACAACATCGCCTGCGTGTTCTCGCACTCGATAGCCATGACGTTCACGACGTTTCTGTCTATGTTGTTCTTTGCCTTTTCGCCCTCCGTTGAGTTTGGTTGTGGGCTTGGAGTACTGATCATTTCCATGTATCTCTACCATCATCCACTAGCGCAAATTATCTCTGACAAAGAGACTTTGCCGGATAGCAATACGAGCATTGAAGAAGGCGATGTTGATGCTCCTTCGCTGAAAGTCAAGAAGCTGAACAAGTACAAAGAGGTATCGATTGAAATGCAGGAAATCGAGTCTCAAATGCCTCAATCTAAAGCCCAAGGTGACAGTTTCAGCTCCTAAGCAGAAGAAGTGATCCGAATCAACTGATATTGCACCTACTATCACAGACTTGACAAGAACATTGCCTACGTCTTAGAGACTGTAATTTTGTACAGCTCTACCGAACCACCATTGTCCATAACCCCAAAGTTTTGAAGTGCTAGCTTGTAATGCAGTATGTTGTCACCCATTCTGTGCTATTGCACAGCTAAGATAAAGCATAGTTTCCGTACAACTATCAAGTAACGATGGCTTATGCTGCACATACAGCAATGTGCACGAAGCAATGAAGACAAGTCTGAGGAGAATAATGCCGTGACAGATCAATTCCTAAAAAAGGAGTAGCAATTGGACTGCTCTAGTCATGGTAAGGAAAGAATGCATTTGGCCCAACAGCAAACTGTGAATTTCATTACGTTTACACTAATTTGCGACGATGATGGTGTTCAGAGCTTTATAGCTTCACTCGATCTCCCATCAAAAACGTAACAATGGTCCAATAACTGAAGTTTTTCGACTGCAAATTCACATACGTGCCAGTAATAGTAAAGCCCATGTAGTACTATAGATATAAAATAGTAAATATAAGTAGAGTATGACTAATGTCATATATTGAGCTAATCTAATATCAAGAGGTGTTATTTTATCGCCTTTTTGCCCACCAGCGCCACCGACAGCGCCACCGAAATCTTCTAAATAATATGATTAGTCAGAATGTTTAGTCTTCAAGTAGAAGATAATAATAAATGGAATTTAAATTTAATCTTAGCATTTAATCAAATTAACTTCAATATTTGTATCAAGATCCATAATGAACACCCTTGCACCACCTCCGCAGCTTGCCTATGCTTCCATGGAAGAAGCAAGAGCCGCAGTTAATGCCCATGCACAGCAGGAAGGTTATGTTGTTGTAATCAAACGCACAAAAAGGATCGGCAATAAGAAAGACGGTGATGTCAAAGCTTTAATTCTTGTCTGTTCCCGATCGAACCCCCCAGTAATACGTACAAGTGCAAAACCTCGCCAGCGTATTCGGTCCAGCCGCAGCACTGGATGCTTATTCAAAGCAAGTATACGGCGACTAGAAGCTGGAGATTGGCAGGTACAAGTTGCTAAAGGAGAACACAACCATGAGCCCTTTGCCCACCAGCCTGCGCCAGTTGGAATTGAGATGGCATTGAAGAGGATCGCAGACGAATACGTTAATGCCCCAAATCATCGCAAGCATCAGCTGCTTGAATATGTCTTGGCTGTCCCCGAGGCCCATAATTGCAATCCTATGCAAATTCAGACACGTAGCCGGCCAACGGGGTCAACGCAGCGACTTTTATCACAGGTTGCGCATGTTGCCGCTCCTTTCAAAGCTCCTGTACGACGCCGTCAATGTCGGATTTGTCAACAGACAGGCCACAATGCCCGAACCTGTCGTCGTCAAGCACCAGCAGCAGCAAATTTCGAAGTAGTAGAGCATAATTCATAAAAACCGTAAGTTTTTTTCGTAATTTTTTAATGAGCTGTATTGACTGAGGGCTGGTTAACAAAAAGGTGAGGGATAAATAACGCTTATATGAAACAGTAATAAACGAAAAATGGTCATCAAGAGTCTCAAAGGCAAGTCAAACGCCAGCGCGCGTTGGGTGCGTCGGCAATGGAACGATCCTGTAGTAAAGCAAGCAAAACGAGAAGGTTTTCGGTCCCGTGCGGCCTTCAAATTGCGCGAGATTAACGATGTAAGGGCGTTTCAATCTCAACATAGTATAATCAAGTATTTTAGATTCTTCTTGTCTCTATTGTAGCGATATCAGATACTGAGACGAGGCGACGTGGTGCTGGATTTGGGTGCAGCACCTGGTGGTTGGACACAAGTAGCAGTAGCAGCTACAGCATTACAGAGCAAAAACAAGCAGCAGAGTTTAAGCTCAAGTCCGAGGGTTGTGGCCGTCGATCTCAAGCATTTTGATCCCGTGGAAGGGGCTGCTATTGTAGTGGGCGACTTCCGTCAGACGGAAGTGAGGAACCAGTTGAGTGAGGCTTTAAGAGGACGGATGGCTGACGTAATACTCAGTGATATGGCTCCATCCTTTTCGGGCAACTTTTTGACGGACAGTCAACAACAATTACGCTTGTGTCACAATGCACTTAAGATGGCAGAGCTATTTTTACGGCCTGGAGGACACTTTGCGACGAAGATTTTGCGCTGCGATGGATCGGAAGAGTTTCGAGCAGATCTCAAAGAAGTATTTGATGTGGTGAAAGCCATGAAACCTCAGTCTTCGAGACCAGAGTCTACGGAGATGTTCATGGTGGCCAAAGGCTTTAAAGGTGCCAATAAGGACAAGAACAGTTGTTGTAAAGAGGAATAGACAGACGATGATGAACTACCCTTCCTCATGTCATCTATTCAATTTCAGAAAGCTATACGGAGAAATGCCAGATGGAGGAGGGTGCGAGCGCAGTCATGAATCGAATTCGTAGTGGCAGGGACTGACCTCTTCGATCGAGACCATCCATATGAAACATGTATCTTAAAAGCAAAAAACAAAGCTCCACTGCAGACAACACACGGCATCTGGATGCTTGGGAATCATTCAACATTCATGAGAACCGACTGGACGGTTAGTTGAGGTCCTGGCCCAGCCGCAGCGCCAGCAGCGTGTCGTTATACTGGTTGAAAGCGTCCTGGATATCGTCCTGCAGCTGCATGGCCAGCGGGATCAGCTCGATATTCACATTGCCACCAATCTGGGCCGATGCTGCCACACGAGGCTGCAACACCTTAACGGCGTGGATCATCTCCTGCAGCTCCGTGTCCTGGCGAACATCACCAGCAGCGTAAATGATCTTCTGCAACAATTGGTGCACTAGTTGTTCCACCTCCTGCAGGTCAGCGTCGTTCAGCGGCTCCGCATCAGCAGCATTAGCCAGTGCCTCACGCTCTTCCTCCTCCCAACGCTTGCGTGCCTCGGCGTATGCCTCGCGCTCACAGATGTCCTGCGTACGGAGAGTGAGGTTGAGGAAACGGTCCAAGTGAATGTTCAGTAGAGCGTCCGGCATTTGGGTGAGCACTTGCGTCATGTAGCGGTTCATCTCCTTTTCACGTTTGATGATAAACTTCTCCTCTTGGTTCTTGCCAATCATCGATGAGAATGGATGGCGCTTTGGGAAACGCGGAAACCACGGGGCGCGCTTGCCACGACGACCCGAAGCAGCAGCCTTCAGTTCCTGGTGAAGTGCATTGAAATCATTGTAACGGCCGCCCACGAGCCAAGCAGTCTTCGACTGCTCAAGGATATCACGACCCCAGGTCACACGCAGCACATACTCCGTGTACTCATCACCCCAGTTCTGGTCCTGCTGCTTGCGGTGGCCAAGCATCGTGCACGTCATAATACCACCCTTGTATGGAATCGGAGGGCCCGTCGGAAACTCCTGAATCTTCTCGACCGGGTTAATCAGGTTCTCGTCATCAGCAGACATCACGGGCCCAGCGGGTGCCTCACCGCCCTCACCGAACAGGTCGCGGCCAGCTTGAGCAAGCTGCTCCTGACGCAGTGCATCACCAGCAACAGCCTCGCCCTCAATCTTAGCGTTGTCACCAGCAACCCAGCTCATGTCGGCGTTCTGAAGTGACTCCTGTCCTACCATAGCACCGGCAACACCCATGGATCCAACAGCACCAATCTGGCCAGCCTGGCTAACGGACGCTTGCAGTGGCTGCACCGAGCCCAGTGCAACAGGTCCGTTGCCAGCAACACCGGGGACACCTAGCGCACCAAGCGCAGGAGCAGTTCCCAGCGTGCCAGCCGCAGCAGCCTTTTTCTGGGCCTCGTCGTATGCACTAAGCTTTCGAAGAGCAGCCGCTTCAGCATCGTGCGCCATGGACGCATCCTGCGCGGCTTGGGCGGCATCTTGCGCGGCCATCGCTGCAGCGAGTGAAGCAGCTTGGGCACGCTCTACAGCAGCCTGGCGTCTTGCCTCTTCGCGCCCAACAGATCGACGATAAGCATGCTGGATTGTAGTAGCCGCAGCGGCACGCTTCAGTTCCAACTGGCGCTGACGTTCACGCTCCTCTTCTTCTTCTTGAAGGCGGCGTTGGCGCTCCTCCTCCTCCCGCTGCAACCGCAGCTGCTCCTGCTCGGCAGCTAGACGTCGGGCCTCCTCCACTGCCAGGCGAGCCTTGCGGATGTGGTGCAGACGCTTCACAAAGTGGCGTTGAGCCTGGATGGCGTAGAATGCCGACACCCAGCGCTTCTTGGCCGAGCTTTTCTTCTCAGCCTCGAGGCGGGCATTCTCCTCCGCCAACCTTTTGCGCATCTTCTCATCTTGCACTTGTGCATATCGTTTTTCTGCTTTCTTGCGGCCGAGCTTGCCACGGACAATGGACTGAATCTTCACAGCAGCAGCATTCTGGTCCGCAAGCTGAGCAACCATGCGCTGGCGAGTCTGCTGCAACAGCTTCTTAAAAGCGTTAGCAGCTAGAATTCCGCCAATGGCCATCTTCCAACGTTTCTGAGCGAGTGTTTTGCGGCGCATCTTCAGGCGGTGCGCATTACGAGCGCGAATAAAGTGCTTGCGTACGGCAAACATGCGCATCACAGCCTGCATTTTAACGATGGCGGCTTTGCGTCTTCTAGTATCCTCCAATAGCCACAGAAACGCGCGCTGAGCCAGCACCTTGGCTAGAGCATAACGCCAGCGTCGACGTGCCAACCACTTACGAAGGCGAGCAACAATCCATGGGCCCATCTTCTTCATGTCAACCTTCAGCAACGCATCAAGCAGAGCAATCTTGCCAGTCTTGAAAAAAACTTTCGTGCGACCCAGACGATAGGCGTCAGGCTCTACACGGAACGACCACAGCACAGCTTCCGTGAAAGTACGATCGTTGTAGGCATCGAACATTGGCGTAACGGACGGTGGTAACACGGGTTTATAGATCCGACAAATTTCCTCGTACGCCACACGTGTAGGTAGACCGACCTTCAGCAGCTCGCACGTAGCCAACATACCGGAGCAACGCAGCTGGTCCACAACGTAGCCATGGTCGAACACGCCGGGCGACATTGTCGAGTTTGGCTTGATACACCGAATAAAGTTGCAGCGCGTCGCATTCAGCGTGTCCGTCAGCTCATGCATTTGGTCACAGAACTTGGCCGACACACTCTGCTTGTGAAACTGGCTCGTGTTGGGCGTACCGTTCATGGTATCGAGGTCCAGCTTCGAAGAGAACAGCTCCTTGATAAGCAAGGACTTGCTAGAAGTCACAAAGTCCTCCAAATCCTTGGGAATAGTGTCGTTGTTCTTATCAATAAAGTTGCCAATCGTGTATGGCACGCGCGTGGCAAAGTGTTTTACAATAAATTCGTACTTCTTGTCCTTTTCGTGAGGAGATAGAAAGTGTGGGTGGCTCGAGTGAGTCTTGTGCAGCATAGCGTTCCATTTCTCGTCAGATGGTTTGGGCATTTTCGCCTCCTGGTCCAACAAAGGCAAAATGCCGTTCGGTTTCTGTGAAATCAGGTCAATGCATTCGCGGTTGTCAGGCCATATAATCTTGCCAACCTCGATGCCTTCCGCTGCAAACAGCTCCTGCTCGGCGATGAACACCTGCTGGTTGAACGTGGCCTGCAGGGCCTCGTTGGCGTAGTTGATCAGCAGTTGCTCGAAGTCGTTCTCCTCGAACGATTCAAAACCAAAGATATCGAGAACACCGATGAATGGTAGTGAGTTATCACCGTGGCCCAGCGAGGTGTTGATTTTGTACAGAATCCACTTGAATAAGCGGTTGTACATCGACTTGGCAATAGCATCGCGTACGTAGCTTCCCTCCTTTGCCGTGCGTTTAATTGTAAAGTTCTCCGTACGTGTGGAAATCTCGCGGGTACTGATCACGTGCAGTAGACTGCTGCTGTCTACACCAAGCAGCTCAGCGCATGATCCCACGTACTTCTGCGCTTCCGGCGGCACCTCGCCAGCGTCGCCTTCCGCCGTCTCACGGTCTTCCAAGCGGATGTTACCAAGATGCAACAAACCCGACAACACTGTCCACACCTGCTTTTGCAATTCAGCGTCAATGTTCACGGAGCCAAGCGCACTCGCCACTTCGTCGAACAAGATCTCATCGTCTACATTCGGGTCCGACACGCACCCACTTTGGTTCAGGTATTCATAGTTGTTGACAGGCTCAAGCTTAAGCTCCTTAGCAAGTGCTTGATTAGCACCCGAGAGCAAAAAGTAGAAGATATGAAAGTTGCGCTCTCCAGGAATCTGTGCCACGACACGAAACTTTTCCAGCAGGTACGTCTCAATGTAGGCGCCACTCAATGTGTTGTCATCAGGCTTGAACTGCAACTTCATGAACTTGCCGAAACGTGACGAATTGTGGTTACGCAGTGTCTTGGCATTACCGAAAGCTTCCAGAATAGGATTCGTGTCCCAAAGTCGCTTGTCCAACTCCAACGCCAGGTCCTGCTGTGCGATACTGCCCTTGTTGGCCGTATGAGCCAAGTGTTCACGCGACGTGAGGTACCGCAGCACGATCTTGGACGTCTCGGTCTTTCCAGCTCCTGATTCACCTGAAATGACAATAGACTGACACTGGGCAGGCATACGCAATGCCATCTGTTGGAAAGCCACTTCGGCAATAGAGTACGGGTGCGGCGATCGATCGCCCATTTGCGTCTTAATGTAGTCTGTGACCTTAGGTTCGACCGTACGAACGAGCGGGTTGACAGCAATAAGTACATTGGCCATGAGCGTATAAGGTCTCAAATTGTCCATCTTGGAGCGTACGTAGAGGTTCTCAAGGATACCAGCTTCATGAATATAGTACAGACCCGTCATGTCATCTACTACACGTGGATTGACCCGATAAAGATCTCCAATATCACGTAAATCAACCTTTTCCTGTCCAAATTTCCCATTGACCGTCAAGAGCATGCCGTGTTCTGGATCTCCTGCTGGTTCATAGCGTACAATTTCCACGACACGCCACACAAGTTCCGGATCAGGAATCCAAATATGTGATCCCAATATCACCGGCGTGTGCTGTAATGATGTCACCACTTCTTGTGTACTACGACAACGTGTGGAATTCTGTGCTCGTTTCTTGTTTTCCAGCACGAGACGTTGGGCAATACTCAGATTTGCTTCATTTACAGGCACTGCTCGATGTCGTTGGAAACGATCATATGACGGTAATGCACTCGATGGTGCAATCTCAATACGAGGTTTACCCGACATGGCCGACGTTTTCGTCTTACGTCTCTTTTTGTTTGTACTTGTTTCAAAGTGCTTCTGAAGCACCCTTTTTCCGACTCTTTTTAGTCGGTCTTATTCAATACTTTACGATCAATTGACGTACGTGCAACGTTTCTCTTCTCTCTCTCTCTCTCTCTTCTCTCTTTTGCTTTGTCGGCTCAATGTGACGAGAAAGAGGGGAGACTTGGAATGATTGAATTGTATTGTGATAAGACGTTTCAGGGGTTTTGTGCCGTGGAGCTTTTGGATTGGATGATAATACTGAACGAGGCGACGTGAAAACGATCTGCGACGTGTGGGATATGAAGAGTCATAGTGACAACTGGATGTTAAGACTGGACAATTGCGAGTCACATATGGACAAAATAAAGACAGTGAGTCCGTAGCCTCGACCTGTGAGCAAAGGTACACCACTTGGACGATGCAGCTACCAAGAAATTGGACGACGCAGCGCACAGATGGACACTGAAACTGGACTGAATGACAATCACTCTGACGACATTGCAATGCTATACTACGTCTTGACGACGCCTACCGCGTGAGTTACGATGCATTACAACACCCACCTACACATACAAACAAAAGCCAATTAGGAAAATTAACTTGAACTTTTTCATTTCGTATCCCAATATTTCGAGTTACGATTATGAGTTTCATATAGGTGATACTTGATTTCATCTTCTTCACTTGACTCAGACGTGTACCGTCTTTCTCTTTCGTTGGGTCCTCACTGACACGGGCTTGTCTTTTGATTGGACCTTGGCGGTCCACTTTCTCTTGGGTTTCATCTTGGTCTTCACCTCGCTGATCTCATCGTCATGTTGTTGCATCTCTAGTTTCTTTACTTGCTCCTTCAGTCGCTTGTTTTCATCTCCCAGCTCTTGCACTTTCAACTCCAAACAAGCAACATGTTGAGCTGTTGGTTCAGGGCCCGGCTCTTCAGTGTCTTCGACTGCCATCGCAACTCTCTTCCTGGTAGACGGATAGGTTGTCTCAAGTACTTTTTCTTGCTCTTTGCCATGCGTGCTGCTTGCAGTAGCTCGATTCTTTCGTTGTCTAGCCACCATTGAGTAAAGAAGGTACGGTTTTATATTGGGCTTTCTTTCGCTTGTGTTGTTGAAAGAAAATTGAAAAGTGTCCGATCAAATGCAAAAGCAACCAAGCCACTAAATGTAGCCATTATCCTACCTTGAAGTTGCCCTTTGGAGGTAATGACTCACTAGACAATAGCAAACATTATGGGACAGAAGTTGGCAATATCAGCAATGTTCTTGCCCTTTTTATCATCTTATGATCGTGAAATGGAATGCCTACTGTTTACTTGATACAACGAGATGTTAACGTCGTAGTATTGAGTAAACAGTAGACATTCCATTATTAATAGTTAAGCACCAAGAGATCCAATGACACTAGACAAAATCTAATCAGCTTGAAACATTGGTCTCTGAAGGCATTATATAACAGACTTGTTCCTTATCATTCTTCAAACAATGGCTGGAAGTCCTGTACGGATTACTGGGTGGTAATTTGTCACTATAAATGTTTGAGATGTGGTAATACGATGTATAACGACTATAATCGAGCGCGTGTTTCAGCTACAAGACTACCCTGTTGATAAAGGATAGTATTTCCCCTGGGCTGCAGGCATTTTCCTTCGGATTAAACGATCGCAACAGCTATAGTAGTGTCTTAATGCGTGAAGGGGCTCTATATTATGTTTTCCACACTAGTTACCACGCGCTGTCGTCATCCAAAGCAATTCCAAAAGATACAAAAAAGAGGCAAGACATAACATAAACACGCCAAGATCTCATTCTAAAATTCACTCCAAAGCCACTGACCAACACTCTTCTCACTCTCGTAATAACTATGGCCAAGCTCAGTGTCAAGAACGTGGACGTTAAAGGGAAGCGCGTACTCATCCGTGTCGACTTTAACGTCCCATTTGCACAAGACGGTTCCATCTCCAACACGCAACGCATTGACGCTGCCTTGCCCACCGTACAGTATGTTCTAGACCATGGTGCCAAGGCCGTCGTCCTCATGTCGCACCTGGGCCGCCCCGAAGGCAAACCTAATGCTAAGGACTCGCTCTCTCCTGTCGCCGAGGTCGTCGAGCAGAAACTCGGTCGCAAGGTTACTTTTCTCAAGGACTGCGTCGGGCCTGAGGTTGAAGCCGCATGCGCTGATCCCGCTGAAGGCTCAGTGATCCTGCTTGAGAATCTGCGGTTCCACGTGGAGGAAGAGGGAAAGGGGAAAGACAACGAGGGGAAGACAGTGAAGGCAGCACCTGAGGCTGTTGCCGCCTTCCGCGCTTCGCTTAGTAAACTGGGTGACGTGTACGTCAACGACGCGTTCGGCACGGCCCATCGTGCTCACAGTTCTATGGTGGGCGTGGATCTCCCTATCAAGGCTGCTGGTTTTCTATTGGACAAGGAGCTTGTGTACTTTGCCAAAGCTTTGGATGCCCCACAACGTCCATTTGTGTCGATTCTCGGCGGTGCCAAGGTCGCTGATAAGATTCAACTGATTATGAACATGCTCGACAAGGTTGATGAGATGGTCATTGGTGGTGGCATGGCCTACACGTTTAAGAAGGTGATTAACAACATGGAGATTGCCAACTCGCTTTACGACGCTGAAGGTGCCAAGATCGTGCCTCAGATCGTGGAGAAGGCCAAGGCCAAGGGCGTAACCTTGCACCTGCCTGAAGACTTTATCATTGCCGACAACTTCGCGGCGGATGCTGCCAAGAAAGTTGCCACTGAGAGCGAGGGCATTCCTACTGGCTGGATGGGTCTGGATGTTGGCCCCAAGTCAAGCGAGGCTTTCTCCAATGCCGTTAGCAAGGCCAAGACCGTCGTCTGGAATGGTCCCATGGGCGTGTTCGAGTTTGATGCCTTCGCCAACGGCACGAAAGAGGTCATGGATGCTATCGTTAAAGCCACAGAGTCGGGCGCCACTACCATCATTGGCGGCGGTGACACGGCAACGTGCTGTGTGAAGTACAACACGGAGGACAAGGTGAGTCACGTGAGCACGGGTGGCGGTGCCAGTTTGGAGCTTCTGGAGGGCAAGGTGTTGCCGGGTGTGGATGCTCTGTCGCCTGCGTGAATGGCACGGTTATCCAGCCCTTTGGTCAGGAGAAGCGGGCTGTAGTTGTTTTTCTTGTCCCATCTAAATGCAACAAAATGCCTTACGTTGCAGTATAGAATTTCAATCAGTTTTAGAGTGCGAACATGTCGTTGCAGCGCGCGAGAACACGAAGTCGAACGAAACACGGATAGACTTCAATTATGAAGATCATGCACAAGAGAACAACGCAAAGAATTGAAAAAATATATTGCGGCGGAGAAGATACGTTACATACACGATGCAATGACAAGAACTGATGAGATGCACCTTCCTCCTCGGCGACGATGCGCACTTTGCTTCGTCGTACGAAACAATGCAACACCGGCACATAAAATTGGGGACGTCCAGAATCTTGGAGGCCTCCAAACGGTCAGATATCGAGGTAGCACATAGTAGGCCCTGCATTACACCTCCGTAGTTGAGTACGAGCCCGTGTAGCTGATCTGGTCAAAGCCCGTCATAGCGGCGTAATTATTAAACTGCTGTTGAGACTCGTTGTACTCACGCTCCGCCTTGTGACTGTTCCATTCTTCCATTTCACGTTTGTACCGTGCACGGTCGATCTTCTCTTTTGCAACAAACGGGGCCTTTTGCTCGTCTGTGGCTTTGGCCCAGGCCTCACCCAATTGCTTCGAGATCTCCGTGTTCTTCATGTCTTGATGTTCGGCCTTAATGCGTGGACGCATCACTTGACTGTAAAAAAGAAAGGCCGAGGACGCACGTTTTGGAGCGTCTGGATGCTTCTTTGCACGCTTGTTGGGGACGCGCAAAGGCCCGTCATAGGCTGCCATTTCCTCTTCGTAACGCTGCTTATCAGCCTCAGCTGCCACTTTCCATGGCTGTTTATCATCGTCGTTCATCTTTCCCCAAGCGTCGGCAATCGCACGCATCACATCCGTCACCTTGGAATTGTCGGGCATTGTCGCCTTGATCTCCTCTCGCTTTTCCATAGAGAATAGAATATACGGAGATTTGCCACGTTTAGGCGCACCAGGTGCTTTCTTTTGCAAACGTTTACGCTTTTTGCCGCCGCCAGCGTCTGTCTTGATGGCCGCCCAGGCCGCTCCCGCCCCATGTTCATTCGCTGCAAGTGGTTCCATAACCCCCCGAAAACCCTGGAAAATCGCTTGACTTCGCTTGAGTATGCCCGGTACTCAAAGAGAATGAGCGTTTCGACCATACAAATTCAAGAGATTCTTCCAGGAGAGATGACACGGCATTTTTTATAGCAGGTCCGTTATGAAGCAGCGAGAGGGGCGACGTCCATACTTGATTTTGATTGGCTTGTCCTCGAACTTGCTGAATGTATTGGACAGCCCTTCCTTACGTTTTGTACTGGTATAAACTGTGTATTAGTAGTCACTAGACTCGATTAGTGACATTTTTACACCATATAAAACAGGACAAAGAGGTCTGGGAAAGACGCAAGAAAGCATCGCAATACATTCCACCAATGATCTCATTCTACCTACCAAGACGCATGTACATGCTGTTCCTTAGGTGACGAATTCCGCAGCGAGGAGGAACCATGGCGAAGCACCACCCGGATCTGATCATGTGCCGCAAGCAACCGGGCGTGGCTATTGGCCGCTTATGTGAGAGAGACGATGGCAAATGTGTTATCTGTGACTCATACGTTCGCCCATGCACGCTGGTTCGTATCTGCGACGAGTGTAATTACGGCTCATACCAGGGTCGATGCGTCATCTGTGGTGGACCAGGCATTTCGGACGCCTATTACTGTCGAGAGTGTACGCAATTGGAGAAAGATCGCGATGGTTGTCCGAAGATCGTTAATCTGGGAAGTTCCAAGACAGACCTCTTTTATGAGCGCAAGAAATATGGCTTTAAGAAACGCTGAGTGTGCTGCTCCCCCATGAAGGACTGGCTTCGAATGTAGACCGAGCAGTGTCTGTGGGTGGAGCAGGTAATCAAATACAGCAAAGAGATGCTAGGAACTACTCGTTATGATGATAATTTGATGTAGAGCTCGTCATTGGTTTATCTGCTTATAAGTTCTTGTTTTTTGTACGGAAGGAAGTCGACTCAACCAGTTGTTAACACGTTCCGATGAATGGTGCTTTTTGTGGACGTCTTCGAGTTGCTGTTGCTGTCTGAAGAAGAAGTACAGATCATGAATCTCGTTGATTAACGCTTGCAGCTGCTCACATACTGACAGTTGAGGCTTAGCATATTAAGCGCTTCTGCTTCACCACACCAAGATCAACATGCTAGACTGCTAGGTTTCCATTGTAAACGATTTCTGCTCAAAAGCAGGCAGCATTTCGCTCGAAGTCCGTCGTGTTTTGGTGATGTTAGACAAACAAAATTACTCTTGCACCGTAAGAGAAGCATGACTTCGACATATGCACCTGCCCGAATCAAGACAAAAGTACACAACGCCAGATTGCATGAATACTTGGTATTGGAGCTACATAAACTTTGCATGACCGACAATTATTGCGCTTGTCTCGCCAGATAGAGCCCGTTGAACAAGCTGACTGCTTTTATTCCACAGTCAGCACCTTCAGCATGTTGGTCGAGCCTGAACGGGCTTCTACCATACCATGCAGAGCAACGACATTATCGCCAGGCTCCAACCAGCCAAACTGCTTGCCCAGATCCGTAGCACGGAACAGAATTGACTCGGTGCCAATCATCGAGCCCATACAGCGCGCTGTGACGCCCTTGTTGAAGCCCTCGGACTGGCGAGCAGTTGCACCCACAGCCGTGAGCACTAGCACTGGCATTGACGGACGGAACTTAGACACTAAACGTGCGGTATTACCAGACTCCGTCAGCACCACAATCATTTTGGCATCTATATCGATGGCTGTCTTCACAGCCGACGATGTGATGGCCTCCAGTATGTCCATATGACCGTACGTATCGAGCACCGAGTTGTGCAGAGCTTGGTAGAGCTCGTTATAGTGGATGGCACCTTCCGCTTGCACGCAAATCTTGGACATCATCGTCACAGCCTCCGTAGCGTAGTTACCGTTAGCAGTCTCACCCGAAAGCATCACAGCATCGGTGCCGTCAAGCACAGCGTTAGCAACATCCGTACACTCGGCTCGAGTTGGTCGAGGGGCCTTGATCATTGACTCCAGCATTTGCGTAGCAGTCACGACTGGTTTTCCGGCGATATTTGCCTTACGAATCATCATTTTCTGGGCCAAGAACACCTTTTCAGGTGGAATCTCCATGCCCAGATCACCACGGGCTACCATGACACCATCCGTCTTGGCCAGAATCTCATCAAAGTTTTCTAGTCCTTCTTGATTCTCAATCTTGGCAATTATCTTGATGCCACGGCCGCGGGGACCAAGCACCTTGCGGATATTGTCAATATCCTGACCCGTGCGCACGAACGACGCGGCGATGTAGTCAATACCGTGCACTAGACCGAAGTTGACGAGATCATCCTCGTCCTTCTCTGTCAGCGTCGGCAGCATCACCTTGCAGCCGGGCAGGTTCATGTTCTTACGTTCGCTCAGCATTGCAGCATTGTTGGCTCGAGTTACGACGCTGTCGTCCTTGATCTCCGTGACCGTCAGCACAAGTGATCCGTCGGCAATCAGAATAGTTCCACCGATTTTGACCGACTGGGGCAGCTTCGGGTACGAGCAGGCGATCTTGGTCTCGTCGCCCAGGAAATCGTAATCCGTCGTGAGCTCCAATATGGACCCTTTTTTTATATGAACCTTGTCCTTGTTCGCCAAGAAACCCGTGCGGATCTCGGGGCCCTTCGTGTCCAGCATGGTGGCGATGTTCTTGTATGGGCGCGTGGCCAGCACTGTCCGGAGTCGGTCGAGCGCCTCAGCGTGACTGCTATGGTCTCCATGCGAGAAATTGAAGCGAGCTAGGTTCATGCCGGCGTCAATGAGCTCGGTCAGTCCCTTCTTGGACCAACATGTTGGACCTATCGTGCAGAAGATACGTGTCTTACGTGCTATGCCCTCCGTACTACGCATAATGCTCTCGAGCTCGACGCCCTGCTGACTCAGTCCTAATGCTCCCGACATGACTACGCAACAGCACCAAAAGATTGTTTTAGTTGACATGATATCGCTTGCACTTATGATGCACTATCACAACGACATGGTCAGACTGATCGAGACATTACGCTACCACCCGCCCATTTCTGAGGTGAAAGTCGTAGCGTCCTTCAGTTTACCTCGATTTCTTCGTCACAGTTGGTGCTTCCTCTCCTTGGCTAAAAGCACAATGAAATAACTGTTGCGGGGTAACCCAACGTTAAAACCACGCGAAGGATCTTGACTTGGCAGTTAGCTCTGAGCTATGTCAATAGAAAGCTCGTTGGGTACACCAGGAATGACACGGGTCCGCATTAGCTTGTTTGCATTTAGCCGTCGTCATCCAACTCCAGAATGCATTTTGCTCTTTATGCCTCCTCCGACAGTCTCGGTGGACAGACAATACGAGCACTGTAGCAAAAGAACGGGTTGGTGCTTTTTCTCGGCCGCTTTCGTCGTCAGATGCAGGTTTGCACCAACTAATCTCGTTCTCTTACATGATCGTTAACCACCGCTGGTTGAGCTCAATTGCCCACCGAAAGCACACCCACTCCCTGTTAGCACCACTATGTTTCTTCATCGACCTTTGTCATCATAAACATGGCAACTACACCATATCGGGTCGACACCAGCGTATGCAATGTTTGTGACGACATCTATTCTAACCGACGCGGCTAATCAAGAGGTCAGCGTTGTTTCTGCAAAATCTAGCAACGCAAGACGTTGACATGTTTTCAAAGTTGCTTTGAAGCGTGAACAAAGTTCTGTAGCAATCACAGCGAGGAGTCTTGTGTAACAGCTTCGATCCACGTTCATCACCGATCTTTACAGAGTCGGGGCTTGGCGAGTCATCTACAGGCACCAATGATAATTGTATTATTAGGCACAGCAGGCCCCGGTTCTGTGAAGGAGGAAGCCTTATCCAGTAATTTTCGGCTCGCGATGAACTTGCAGACGTCATTCTTCATTTGTTTGCAGACTCCTCACGCAACTTCGACTCACTCACTCACTCACCCACTTACTTACCCCCCTTCCTTCTTAGATCATCATGTCTGCTTTGTCGCTCAACCTGTTGAATGCCAACTGGATTAAGACGGACATTGAAAATGTACAGCGCAAGACCAAGATCTTTTGCACGCTTGGGCCCGCTTGCTGGTCCGAAGAGGGTCTGCTGGAGCTGATCGATGCAGGCATGAACGTGGCCCGCTTCAATTTCTCTCACGGTGACCACGCAAGCCATCTGGCTTGTCTGAATCGCCTGCGCGGTGCACTGGCCAAGCGCCCCAACAAGAACGTGGCCATCATGCTGGACACGAAGGGTCCCGAGATCCGTACGGGATTCTTGGCCAATAAGGACAAGGTGACAATCGAGAAGGACTCGCTCATTGAGATGACGACAGACTATGAATTCCTCGGTGATGAGACCAAGATCGCGTGCTCGTATCCGCAGCTGCCCGAGTCCGTTCAGGTTGGCGCCTCGGTGCTGGTGGCCGATGGTTCACTGGTGCTAACGGTCACAGAAATCAACAACACGAGTATTATCGTCCGTGCTAACAATACGGCAACTCTTGGTGAGCGGAAGAACATGAACCTGCCCGGTTGCAAGGTGATGTTACCGACGCTGACAGAGAAGGACGAGGATGATCTCGTCAATTTCGGTCTAGTGCATGGTATTGACTACATCGCCGCGTCGTTCGTGCGCACGGGTCAGGATATTGACAATATCCGCAAGGTGCTTGGTCCCCGCGGCCGTGGCATCAAGATAATTGCCAAGATTGAGAATCAAGAAGGACTAGAAAACTTTGATGAGATTCTGGCCAAGACGGATGGTGTCATGGTAGCCCGTGGTGATCTGGGCATGGAGATTCCACCTGAAAAGGTGTTCTTGGCCCAGAAAATGATGATTCGTAAGGCAAATATCGCCGGAAAACCAGTCGTGACTGCTACGCAAATGCTGGAGTCAATGATCAAGGCCCCTCGACCAACTCGAGCCGAGTGTACGGATGTTGCTAACGCTGTGCTTGACGGCACCGATGCTGTGATGCTTTCGGGTGAGACTGCTAACGGTAACTACGCTACGGAGGCTGTGACGATGATGTCCAAGATTTGCGTGCAAGCGGAAGGTGCCATCCACTATAACGAGCTCTACCAAGCTCTGCGCAACGCCGTTCTTGAGGTGAATGGCCCGATGCAGACGGATGAGGCTGTTGCGTCATCGGCTGTGAAGACAGCCATCGATATTGACGCGAAGATGCTTGTGGTCCTGACAGAAACAGGCAACACGCCTCGTCTTGTGGCCAAGTACCGTCCGCAGATGCCTGTGCTGGTGTTGACGGCTTTGGACCAGACTGCTTGTCAGACTGAAGGTTTCGTGAAGGGCGTGGTGTCTCGTTGCGTTGGTTCCATGATCGGCACGGACTCAGTCTTGTACCGCGCGACGGAGACCGGCAAGGAACTTGGCTGGCTGAAGACTGGCGATGCCGTCGTTGCTGTGCACGGCATCCAGGAGGCCAAGTCTGGGTCGACGAATCTGCTTAAGATTCTATACGTCGAGTAATTGTAGTGGCTGTGTACTGCATTGTATTTTGAGGATAAGAACCCAAGCTAGCGAGCGAATGCTGGTAACGCCCAGAGTGAGACCCTGCTACTTGTCGCTAGTGATAGCGTTTGCGTTTCTTGAATTCTTGTGGCTTGATCACCGCGCACGCTAAGAATCTGTTAGCTGCGTCTACATTTTCCTGCATGGATTACAAGCATAAAGTCTGTTCTATACCTACTCTAGGGTCGTGTCAAGATGAATGCAAGGAGTATGTATTATAGATACGATTAAGACTTCTCGTGCCAACGTCGAAAGCTAGTACTACGTTATAGTGCAGCAGCTGCCCCGGCAGAGCGAGGCACTACTCACGTGGTCGGAGAATTTGATGGCTTGCCTCATAAATGATCAATAAGACCTATAGCAATGCCGCTGCCGCAAAAAAATAACGTCGCCGGAGCGATGAAATGGATAGGAAAGCAGCGACGTGCTAGCAGTTGTTCTTGATCGTTCATGACCGGGGTCAACGACACAACGAGGATCCGTAGAGCGTTAGCAGGAAGAGGGCAAGACTCGGCAAAGTCACAGTTGGGTGAGAAGGAGTAAGCCAGACCGGCCAAAAGTGTAGACGGGCACTTCTACGAAGTTGCCTCGTACTACGAGCACACACCTTATGCACAAGCGAGGAAGCGGTTATACCGTCTTACCTTTGCGTGCGAGGGTGGTTGGGAGGCTGGTCGACTGCCTAAGCAGTCGTACCACCAGTTGCCTCTCGCTTAAGCGAGATTGCAACGAACTTCTTAACACTAAAGCACCGACGTCACGCAGAAGTCTTTCAAACTTCTCGTGCGTGGTGTGTATGTTTAAGTAAATTCAAGACTGAGCTATATTTAATTAATTATAACTAATATATACTTAACTACAGATTGGCTATATATATATATATATATAGATTGGATACGCGACTCTTTAGAAGCGTATCCTGTCGCATGATCTTAAATCTAGATTTAAGATCGCAACTGACGTCCTTCTGAGACGTCGTGATGCCTAGCTTCAACTAGCGTCATCCCTTCTCATGTGAATCCATAAATGAATATCACATTCACGAGGGTGGATCACGTTTGTGTATCGCACCCAAGTGACAAGTCAAAAGTAATCATGGATACTTTTAGACCAAACATTAAGTATATTACTTAATGTTTACGTGTAACTAGGTACCCTGTTACACCATCCCCCGTTTTAGAACGATGTTTACATTTTATAAAACATCGCCTAAGAGATAGAGAGACTGGCGAGCCGTTATAAACGCGCCGCTTTAGTCTGATCAGTAATCATGCCACCGAAACGTGGTAAGACTGATGGGTCGCCTGCAAAGGCACCCATGCAGTCCAGCACTAAGCGCACGCGCCGCGATTTATCGCAGCCGTCGCAAAGTGCGTCAGGTACTGGGGTGAATCTTCCATCTCACGATAATGGGGATGAAGATCCATCTCTCATTGTTGACTACAATGAGACCACACCACTGCCATCACCCCAAAGTGGCGATGAGCATAGTGCATTGATGGGACATATGTCCCCATCATTTGAGGCACCCGTCCTTGAGGAAGCATCTATGCTTCCTACAAGCGAAGGTAAAGCCTCGTCGTCTGCGCCTACGAGCACAGCGACTAAGACTGAGCACGCTACTTCGAAAGGAGTAGTCGCGACTCAGTCAGATGTAACTTCTCAAGCTGATGTCTTGACAATCCATAATGGAGAGTCAGACTCAGGTGAGTGTGAGCTTAGAGCTCCACCAAGTACACCTTTGGCCTCACTAGCCCGCCGTCGCGAGGGCGGCTACGTGAGTGGTGGCTTGCCACCAATGCCACCTCCATCTGAGTGGATGAACTCGGATGGGTCTAGCGCAGCGCTTTTGCAGCGTGCCACTATAGACGCTCATAGATTCTATAGCGTCTTTCCTTTGTGGAAAAAGCAGGGCAAAGCACTTGGTCGTGCTTTCCCAATTCCAGTCGTGCTGCGTTCTAACGAAACAGCCAACAACTATGAAGCTGAACTTCGGCGCCGTGTTACCTTGCATGAAGATGCAACGAAACAGCGGTCGCAGCGAATCAGCTTCGCCATGAAGCGTGCGCATGAAATTATGGGCGGTAAGAGACCCCCAATTAATTCTCGCCACGCTTCTTCTGCTAGTCCTTCCGGACCTAGCAGAAAGAAGACAGCTGGTGCTGCTTCACATAAGCAGCCACCAGCCCAGGCACGTCAACGCGCAAAGCGTCCACAGGCTCCCACGAGTCAAAGCTCGTTGGGTAACCCTTCCACTGGACCAGGATTTGGAGCTTTCGCTTTACAAACCGGTGGGCCAACAGCCTTCCAACAAGGAAGCGCGTGTTCCCATCCGTGTCCACCTACACAGGTGGCGCCCGATAGGAGTGGCGATTACACCCACCTACTCGCGGCTGCCTACCCTGCTGCTTTTCAGTCGCAGGCTGAGTCCGCTGCGCTGAAGAGGCAGGTGACAGATCTCGAGAGTCAAGTCTCGCGACTGACCTCGGATCTGCGTGATGTGAGGGCGAGAGACCGTCAGGGGTATGACCGCCTGAAGACCCGTTTGGACATTCTAGAGCGACTGGTAATGAGAGACCCGCGTCAAGCTCGGAGTCCTCCTCGATCACCGAGTCCTCTATCGCCTCGTTCATACACGGGGAGCCTCTCGGCTTCCTCGTCGCCTGATCGGTCGCGACGCTCGACTCACAGTCGACGTCACCATCGGTCTCGTTAGACCTATGTGGATATGTGATCTCTTCTGGATCAACATACCGCTTCAGACGACCCACGTAAAATACGGGGTGCGTCTTCATATACGGTGGGAGAGTGAGCCTATAGTTTAGGTCTCCAACCTCCTCGACCACTGTAAAGGGCCCAATGAATCGGGGCAATAGCTTAGTAGTACCACCAGGTAGTACAGAGATTGCATGTTTAGGTAGGGTAGCAGTACTTAATAGCACTTTCCCCCACACTAAAGTGTTCATTGTTTTTGCGACCATGCTGGTCTGCATATTGTTTTTGCTTGTCCTGTGCGCTTTCCATAGCGTCACGGACTTTACGTGTGATGGCTAATCGCTCATCCACAAAGCGCTGAGCTTCGCTCACGCTTTTAGCATCCAGCTCGCCGATGACGCCTCCAAGAGGTCGTTCATGGGTCGACGCTGTTGACAACACTAGTGTCATCATCAAGGAGCACTGGCATTTCTTGCCGTGCCTCCTTTGTGACACCTATAGGTGTCGTGACCACTGCTAAACTAGCAGTGTCACTAGGGCAACCTTGGCCCTCTTTGGCATTCGCACCGAGCGAAGTGAGGGCCCCCCCCCCACTAAGACTCGGGCTGCGTACAAACGAGACTGGCGTTCGAGGATGACGCAGTCCGTTAATGTAAAACGGTGTTTCACCCGTACTGGCGTGAACACTGTTATTAATAGCAAACTCCGGACTGGCAATTGCTTGCTCCATTCCTTAGGAGTCGCTATTGTACGCAACACATCCGCCACGACTCGATTGGCCCGTTTTGTTTGGCCATCGGTCTGGGGATGATCAGCGGTTGACATGTGGAGCTTGCTACCCAGCAGCTCGAACACATGTCGCCAAAAACCCGACGTAAAACGCGGATCCCGGTCCGATACTATGGACTCGGGCATCCCGTGTAGTCGATACACGTGATCCAGGAACAAGAGGGCAGCCTCTTTTCCTGAGATCTTGGTGCTACATGGTGCCAAATGCACCATCTTGCTCAGTCTGTCTACAAAGACGACGAGCCCCGTCCTGTCTTTATGGTCAGGCGGTAAGCCAAACATGAAGTCCAAACTGACCGACTTCCAACATTCAGTTGGAATCGGCAGTGGCTTCAGTGGCGCACTGTTTGAAGGTGCAGGCTTTAATGCGCTGACACTCTTCACAAGAGCGAATATAGTTGGCCACCCACCGATATAGGTGGGGCCACCAAAATTACTCTGACACTCGTAAGAATGTCTTTTCACGGCCCAGATGCCCACTAGATGGCGCATCATGGCACTCGTGAAGTATCATCAGCTTGAGATCTGTGTCATGAGGGACATAGATTCTCAAGGGATCACAGGGTGACAGTTGATGCCATAACAGGCCATCACTGTAACTAAAGCGATTTAGTTTCGCTTTGAGGTGCGACGGAAGGGTAACCTTTCGTCCACCAAAATGATCCAGCAGCAGGCGACAATGTTCGTCCTGACTGTAACACTCCTTGATATCGGAGGCCATTGAGCTCCTTAGTTCAATTGCATTCATGGCCGCTACACGGTCATCGGTAGAGGTTTTCTTGGCTTTAAGTGTGGTCGCCAGATCAAAGATGCTGCCAGATGACGTTGCGAAGATCTGGAAAGTTGTGAGTGATAAGGGAAGACATTGAACTACCAAAGGATGGTAGGCCTTCATGGCTGCCAATGTTGACGACTCAACTTGTGCTTTCGCACGAGACACACTATCCTGGTGTCTTGCCTCGAAGTCTGGTCTGCGCGATAACGCGTCAGCCAAGACATTCGACTTACCCGGCTTATATTTAACTTTGAAATTAAATTCAGAGAAGAATGTCAGCCATTTTGCCATTCTCGGCGAGAGGTGCGGTGAATTTATAGCGGTCCGCAGTGATGCGTGATCCGTATAAACCACAAAAGGTTCGGTGCCCAAGAGGTGCACCCGAAACTTCACAAGGGCATACTTAATTGAAGATAGCTTCTTGTCATGCACAGGGTAATTCAGCTCGACAGCTTTTAAAAGCCGAGACTGATAAGAAATGACACGGTCAACGCCGTTGTCATCCTTCTGCATGAGCGCGCTGCCGATTGTAAAATTGCTTGCATCGCAGACGACGCTAAAGGTCTTATCCGCGTCTGGCAATGCCAAGACCGGTGCCTCTACAAGAGATTGCTTCACTGATGTGAACGCATCTTCTTGTTTCCTTTGACCAAGTCCATTCTGTATCCTTTTTTAAAAG